GGGTCACCAGAGTGGTGGCATTGGGGTCACCAGGGGGGTGGAACCAGGGTTGGGGTCACCAAGGTGGTGGAACCACCAAGGTTGGGGTCACCAGGGGGGTGGCACCAGAGTTGGGGTCACCAAAGTGGTGGCATTGGGGTCACCAGGGTGGTGGCACCAGAGTTGGGGTCACCAGGGGGGTGGCACCACTGGGGTTGGTGTCTCCAAGGTGGTGGCACCAAGGTTGCATCCAAAGGCTGGACATGGTGGACACTGGGTAAGGTGGGAAGACCCCAAGAGGACCCTGGGGACACTTGGGGACCCTGGGGACACCTTAGGGACCCTGAGAACATCCTGGGGACCCTGGGGACACTCGGGGACCCTCGGGGCCACCTGCGCTGACGGTGATGGCCTCCAGGAACTGCTCGCGCCACGAGTGCGTGCCGATGACGGTGGCCAGGTTGGTTTTCTTCATCAGCTTGTCCACCGTGTTCTGGGGACGTGGGGGACACGCCGGGGTCAGGGCGTCCCCGGGGGCGTCCCCAGGGTGTCCCCAGGGTGTCCCCAGGGTCACCTTGAAGTCGTAGGACTCCTCGATGACCACCTCGAGGCGCCGGTTGTCGCCCAGCACCGGCTTGCCCATGTCGGCGATGCGGCGCGCCTCCTCCTCCTCGGCCGAGAGCTGCCGCTCGGCGTCCCCTGCGCGGGACACGCGGGGACATGATGGGGACACGCGGGCACACGCGGGGACATGATGGGGACACGTGGGGACACGTGGGGACATGATGGGGACACGTGGGGACACAATGGGACATGATGGAGACACGTGGGGACACGATGGGACATGATGGAGACATGTGGGGACACGCGGGCACACGCGGGGACATGATGGGGACACGTGGGGACATGATGGAGACATGTGGGGACACGCGGGGACAAGGTGGGGACATGGTGGCCACATCCCTGGGAATGTGGTGGGGACACCAAAGGGGGACATGGGGACACCAAAGTGCCACCAAAGGAGACGTGACACAAACGTGGGGACATGGAGACATCAAAGGAGATGTGACACGAGTGTGACACGTGGGGACATGGGGACACCAAAGGGCCACCAAGGGGGACGTGAGGCGAGCGTGGGGACACAAAGGAGGACATGGGGCCACCAAGGGGGACGTGAGGCGAGCGTGGGGACGCCGCGGGCGTGGCGCCGACGGGGACACCTCACGGGGCCGTGACGAGGCCGCGGCACGAGGACACGCGGGGGACACGGCGACATACACGTCACGGCACGTCCACGGTCACGGGCGCCTCCGAGGCCGAAGGCTCCTACCTTGGGCCAGCAGCAGAGCTGGGGAGAGAGGAGAGGGAGGGACGGTGGTGAGACCCCCGCCCGCGGTGCCACCACGCGTGGTGCCACCACCTCGGTGTCACCCCCTCGGTGCCACCACCCTTGGTGTCCCCGTACCCGAGATGCCGCGCTTGAGCCAGCGCGGCGTCCCCAGCTCGATGAAGAAGTTCTCCTTCTTCTCGTACTCCTCATCGTCCACGATCTTCACCTTCAGCGTCTTCCTGGGGCGGGACACGGGGGCACCTTCGGCCTCAGGGTCATCATCATCCTCATCGTCAACCATTGTCACCATCATCATCCACCACCATCATCATCATCCAATGTCATCGTCATCCATCATCGTCATCATCTTCCACCTTCATCCATCCATCATCCACCTTCTTCCTCTTCCCTCTCCACCCAACCATGACCAAACCATCCTCTTCATCTCCATTCATCCATCTATTCTCCATCCATCGTCATCATCATCTTCCATCTCCATCAATCCATCATCCTCTTCCTCCTCCACCTCCACCCAACCATGACCCAACCTTGCTCTTCCTCTTCCATCCATCATCATCATCTTCCATCTCCATCTGTCCATCCATCCATCCATTGTCCATCCTCTTCCTCTCCATCTCCATCCATCCTCCACCCATCATCATCATCATTTTCCATCGCCATACATCCATCATCCTCTTCCTCCTCCATCTCGACCCAACCAATCACCCAACCTTGCTCTTCCTCTTCCATCCATCATCATCATCATCTTCCATCTCCATCAATCCATCCATCCATGGATCCATCATCCTCTTCCTCCTCCACCCAACCATGACCCAACCATGCTCTTCCTCTTCCATCTGTCATCATCATCATTTTCCATCGCCATCCATCCATCATCCACCTTCTTCCTCCTCCACTTCCACCCAACCAATGACCCGACCTTGCTCTTCCTCTTCCATCCATCATCATCATCATCTTCCACCTCCATCTGCCCATCCATCATCCATCATCCTCTTCCTCCTCCATCTCCACCCAACCAATGACCCAACCTTGCTCTTCCTCCTCCACCTCCACCCAACCATGACCCAACCTTGCTCCTCCACCTCCACCCACCCCGCCCCACCGCGTCCCCTCCCGCGCCGCCCTCACGCCGTCTCGTCGTTGCGGAACTCCAGCTCCCCGCTGGCATCCTCGTAGTCGACGCCGCCGCCGCGCGCCGTCCCCTCCACGGTGCGGAAGGGCACCATGACGGTGCCGCGGGCGCCGGAGCTGCGCACCACCGTCACCTCCACGTGGCCCTGGCACTCGCTGACGCGCACCGAGCGCTCCCGGAAGCCGAAGATGCCGGCGTGGTCGTCGTCCAGGATGGTCACCGTGGCCACCAGCGGCGCCACCAGCTTGCCCTTGGGCCGGTCGTCGCAGTCGGCCTCGAACATGCCCTCGGCGTCGCCCACGCGCAGGTTCAGCAGCCGCACGAAGAAGTGCTCGTCCTCCTCGAAGATGTCGTCGTCGATGATGCCGATGGCCAGCTCCTTGCGCGTCTCGCCCGGCTTGAAGATCAGCGTGCCCTCGCTGTACTCGTAGTCCGAGCCCGCCTTGGCCGAGCCGTCCTCGGTGCGGAAGTCCACGTAGAAGGTCTGGTTGGCGCCCAGGCCCTGCTGGCACGCCACGGCCAGCGTCACCGAGCCGCAGTTCTCCAGGCAGTGGTAGAGGCACGGCTCGAAGAAGATGCGGCTGCACGCCTCGTCCTCCTCCTCGTCGTCGTCCTCCTCGCCGGCCGGCGCCGGCGAGCGCCGCGCCGCCTCGGCCGCGTGCTTCTTCAGCACGTTGCCGGCGCCGGTCATCAGCCGCGTGGCCTGGATGCGGTAGAAGGCGCGGCTCTTCTGCTGGTGCACCAGCGCCACGTAGTTGGCGGCGTCCAGCAGCTGCTCCAGCTCCTTCTCGGGGTGCTTCTGCTTCAGGTCCTTGAGGATCTGGATCACCTCGCGCCGGCTCTCGTCCAGCTCCTTCTCCTCGGGCGTGGGCGAGCCGCCGGGCTCGGGCTCGGGCAGCGCCGGGAAGCCGCCGTCGGCCTCCGGGTCCTTGGGCGGGCGCTCGGCCTCGGCGCCGATGATGATGCCGCTGCGCGGGTCGGCGCGGTAGCGCTTGTAGACGTACTTGTAGAAGAGCAGGCGCTTGTCGGCCGCCCAGGCGAAGACCACGCACGCCGGGAAGAAGAGCAGCGTCAGGAAGGCCTCCCACACCTGCACCACGCCCGGCGTGATCACCGCCAGGATCAGGTAGAGCCAGATGTAGGCGAAGATGCTCCACGAGGCGGTGACGAAGAAGACGCGCAGGTGCTTGATGCGGCGGCTCTCGCCCGCCGGGATGGCGTAGACGCACACGGCGATCACCACGAACATGTTGAAGGCGGCGCTGCCCACGATGGTGCCGGGGCCCAGCTCGCCGGCCTGGAAGCGGTGCCCGCACACCTCGATGAGCGACAGCAGGATCTCGGGCGCCGAGGAGCCCAGCGCCATCAGCGTCAGGTTGGAGACCGTCTCGTTCCAGATGCGCACGGTGCCCACGCTGGTCTCGCCGTTGGCCTTGGTGACGGTGATCTCCTTCTCGCGCGACGTGATCACCTCGATGGAGGCCATGAAGCGGTCGGCGATGATGGACACGCCCAGGAACAGGTACATCATGGCCACGAAGTAGACGATGGCACGCGCCGCCTTGTCGCCGGCCGCCGGCTCGTCCGGCTGCCACACGGGCAGGAGGACGCCGGGCTGGCAGCGCGCCGAGCCGCGGCACGTGCCGTTGGCGCCGTCGGCCGCCGCGGCGCTGCCCCGCGGGCTCAGCAGCAGCCAGGCCGCCAGCGCCGCGCCCGGCGCCGCCATGGCGCCCACCTGGAGCCTGCGGATGGGGACGGGGACGGTCAGGTGTGGGGCCGGGAGTTTGGGATGTGGGGCTGGGAATTTGGGATCTGGGATTGGGAATTTGGGATGTGGGGCGCCGCCATGGCGCCCACCTGGAGCCTGCGGATGGGGACGGGGACGGTCAGGTGTGGGGCCGGGAATTCGGGATGTGGGGCCGGGAATTTGGGATGTGGTGCTGGGAATTTGGGATGTGGGATTGGGAATTTGGGATGTGGGGTGCCGCCATGGCGCCCACCTGGAGCCTGCGGATGGGGACGGGGACGGTCAGGTGTGGGGCTGGGAATTCGGGATGGGGAATTTGGGATGTGGGATCGGGAATTTGGGATGTGGCAACGGGAATGTGGGATGTGGGGCCGGGAATTTGGGATGTGGGATCGGGAATTTGGGATGTGGGGCAGGGAATTTGGGATCTGGGATTGGGAATTTGGGATGTGGGATCGGGAATTTGGGATGTGGGATCGGGAATTTGGGATGTGGGATGGGGAATTGGGGATGTGGGGTTGGGAATTTGGGATGTGGGGTTGGGAATTTGGGATGTGGGGCAGGGAATTTGGGATTGGGAATTTGGGATGTGGAATTGTGAATTTGGGATGTGGGGCGCAGCCGTGGTGCCCACGAGGAGCCCCAGGGGGGAAACGGGATCAGGGATTGGGCTGGGAACCGGAGCCACGGATCAGAACCAGACCCACGGATCAGAACCGGACCCATAGAACAGAACCGGACCCATAGAACAGAACCGGATCAGAACCGGACCCACAGAACAGAACCGGACCCACGGATCAGAACCGGATCAGAACCGGACC